GTACATTCAAATCCAATGAATCGCATTTCGGGAAACGAATATGATTTTATCAGTATAAGATTGTTGTTTTTTTGGTTTTTTGTTTGTTTTTCCATTAAATATTTGTTGATTGTTTTTGTTTGGCAATGTGTTATCGTTTGTACAGAACCGTTCGAGCGTTCGTCACATGTTATGATCGTTTTGTGTGTGAGTGATAATGTTTTTGGTGAATGGAATGAGTAATGGGCGTTGGCGTTGGGTCATCATCATCAAATCGGAACAAATCGAACAGGATCGATTGGTTTTTGTGGGGTGGTTTAAAGCGTTACCCATGTTGCGTCATTGGCCAATTGGTAATTCAAGATTTCAAGATCGGTCGGGATTGGTTTTTGTTTTGGGTTTTATGTAGGATGGCGGCAGGCAGGTGGTGTAGATGGTCAGAGCAGCGCGAATCAAGCAGTTCGTTTGATTGATGTGACAAATTGATGACGTTAACCAAGGGTTTATGGTTTTGTATATTGTTTTTATCGATCACGTCGCAGACATAAACAAAATGAAAAGAAAAAAATAAAAATAGATCATGTAAATTTTCTTAAGAAGACAAGCACTTAAAAATACGTTTCTTATAAATAATATCGGATACGACAAACTTGAACTGTTTCGTTGGTTTTATGGACATGGACATATGCAAGAATGTGGAGTATATTTTGGAAAGCTCGGCAAACAAGAAGGTTGGATCCGCCAAACTACATGAAAGCGTTATTTGATGGGACATGCGTTTCGACCGGCTATCGAAAATCCGATTTTCAAGAGTTCATGTACTTCGGATGGAGCTATTTTTCAAATGGATCGTTATTTTATAAGTCTATGGCATTACGTCCTAGTACGATAAGCGATAATCGTTGAGTAGAATAGGAGTTATTGTTGGAAGAAATACGCATGTAGTAATTAAACGGTTAGAGACATGGTTGTCGTACATTGGAGAGCATATAGTAATTATGTTCAGGTACAAAAGTTACAACAGCAGCACAATAACAAACTATATCAAACTGACTTTTAAGATATTGGTAGGCAGTAACATTAACATTAAACAAAAACACACAATAATGGAAAAAATTCAATTATACTGGCGATGGTAGTAGAGTCAATAGAGATTTACTGACAGAGACAGACATGCATGAGGAAACAAACAAAATAATGAGTTCTTATTTTAGAATATTGCGTTTCGATCGCTAAAATTCGCGCGAATGTTTGGACTTTTCCAAAGCGAATACGAAATAAAAAACTATTCACTTGATTAGGGTGTAAGCCCAATACTTGATTTCAATTTACTGGAACACCAAGCGGTCATTACTCGAGCAATAATAAGTATTGGCATCGCCGCCAAACTGAATTTCGTTTAAATGAATCACAAAATAGTAGACCAACAAAATCAGAAAAATAAAACCAAACCGTACGCTAGTTGTACATACTTAAGCAATATATCTGTATATGGAAAGGGTCGTGTTCGTTTACGTTACTTATTACCCAAAAAAAATACGTGAACAATACAAATGAGCAGTACATCAAGTTGATGAAACTATTTTAAAATCTTTCATTTAAGCTAACAATAATTGCAGGTAATAGCAATTATTGCCCATTTGACACGCCCACGACCCTTGTTTGAATGAGGCAAAGTATATATCTCTTAACGTAAGATTGCATTTCACTCACCAAATTTGTTCGATTGGTTCGGTTCGAATCCAAATTGAATTCATTTCAAACCACATTCATAGCAATATTTGCATTTGCATTTTCAAATCGGTTTGGTGTGGTTGTCGATTCGGTTAGCAATAATTGTTGAATTGTTGCATTATTGTTGGTTTTGTTCGGGTTTTCAATTTGCATTACGAGCACGATCGAAAAGGTAGTAATAGTAGAGTAGTACATTAATTGAGCGATCGTCGATAGGAGGACGAAGGAGGTTGTTGCAGTTTCAGATTCAGATTCAGATTCGTAGGTGGTGGTGGTGTTATTTGTTGTTGCGGATTTAAAACGCCACAGGGAATGGATGTACATATGTGGTAGTGTAGTAGTTATCAAAATTAGACATTTGGTTTGTAAACAGACAATGTTCAAGATTGTAAAAAACATGAAAAGATAAGAAATTTACATTATTCAATTGATCAAATTGGTTAGCTCGTTAAAATTACATTGGATAAATAGATAAATACAAAACGAATAGAACAAAACTAGGAAAGGCCAACACTATTAACTAATAGAAGAGTGAACAGTAAACGAATTAAATTAATTCTTATAAATACAGAGATTATAATAGATGTTACATCTCTAGCCTAATGACCAAATTTGGGCTCCATCCAGGGTCAAACTTAGGATTAACTAAATGACTATAATCCTATCTTCCCAGGAATATCTAAAGCTGCGACACAACCATTAAAATATAAAAATATCTCATAGTCATTATTTAAAGTATTACGCACAGCACGAATACCTCTAGAGATGATCCTTAAAAACTAAATATGCTTATAAAGGGGCTCTAATTGAGGGATCATCTATAACATCTAGTCTGTAATTCTTTAAATGCCTAACTACTAATATTATTTAAATACAATGTCAATTTAGATTTTCTTTAAATTCCAATTTATGTTCATTAAAACACCAAAAGGCAAAAAAAACAATTGTCATTTGCATGTTTTCAGTGGCGGATCCACAGAGTTCATTGTGACTGATATTGAGTCGATGATTCATGGAGATGATTCGGTGAAATGATTGTCAAAATGCACAATAATTCTCCCAAACAAATAAAATGCCAGCCAATTTCTAAATAATAAAGAAGTAACCAAAAGCAGTTGAATTTAAAATAATCAGTTAATCAAAACTAACAGAATTTGGTTTGTTTGGTTGTTGCGTTTTTGGTAAATTACTCAAGTGTATACCTCGTTCCGAGCGGGTCATTCGAGACCGAGACGCATCCGTCTGCAGAGGGGCGAGGGCTCGAGACAGACGCGCTTTTGGTATGACCTTTTCCAGCGGGAGCTCCCGATCCGCTGCTGGTAATGTGCATGTTTTAGGTTTAGGCCGAAAAGTGGTAGAATCGTAAATATGACTTTGTTTTGTTTGTTAGGGTATTTTCGGTTTTCCTTTTTTTTTAAAGGTAAAATAAAAAATAAGTAATTTTTCGAATGTGCCAACGGCACGGCAACTAAAGACAACTGAACTGTGCGTGACTATATACAATTGAATGTCGTTCGTATTCACATGGAATCTTTAAACGATCTCCTCTACATTTCTGTATGGATGGGAGTGTAAGCTGCTGCATAGACTAAATGCTTTCTAACCGCCGTATCCGATCCCATTCGATCAGATCGTTTTGCGTGCGAACCAAAGGCAAATAATACATAATTGTGGCAGACTTTCATATCTACCGACTGACTGAACATTAACTAAATAAGCCTGCCAAACGGGGATTGTGATGCAAACAATAACCGGGGATATTTCGAACATTAGTTTAAGATCCAAACTAGTACTATCGTGATACGCCGCTAAGAGAACTAGCTCAACTCTCACGTACTTTGTCTCTGCGGGAATAACATTGGTTTTCTCCGTCGACGAAGTCTTCTCGTACAGCGTGGTGGAGCGGCGTGGAATGATGCCACTGGTGCCGCTGACCGTGCGATTGCCGTTCGTCGGGTCGTACTTCGTTACCGTTCGCGGCTTGGCGGGACTGTTCAGTGCTGTAAATTCCATAATGATATTAGGTTTAAATCATCTGGTTCCATCATATCATCTTTTTAGCCCTTACTGGTGTCTGCCGTGGTGAGCATCTTTTGGGTGGCCGAAGCGGGTCTCTGACTTTGAGCGGCTAGTCGCGCTGTGTTCTCCTTAATTGTAGCAGAGTCGATCGTGTTCTGACGTTTGAAGTTGCTGCCACTATTGAGGACAATTATTAGTTTCAAATGTTTATCAAAATAATTGATAAGCTACTTACACTGAAGCTCGATCTGCCGCTGATCCTGCAGCATTGTAATTATTGCTTGGATTTACCGCACCAACGGCTCCCGTGGCCGCCGCCACAGTTGCTGCCGCATTTGTCGGTCCAACACCTGTAATTATATGTAATTTATAAGTTATAAAAGGTTCACCTTGATATTGACATAAAATTTGGCATCAGTAAACACTATCTTGAGCGGAAAACATTTCGGTTTGCCCTAAAACTATTTTTGTAACTTACAATTTTACGTTAATGATAATGTTTGATTGGTCACATATAATACAATACAGACAAAATGCAATTTAAGTTACTTTCATTGATTGTTAATATTGAAAATATTTCATATTTATCATCTTATTTCTATCATCTAGCAACGAATAGACTTATTATGGTTAATGATAATGATAAACTGGCATACAAGTCGTATTAGTAATTTTCAAGAAAAGTTAGTTCTCTAAATCATGAATACAGACAAAATACAATTGAAGTAAATTTAAATGATTGTTTGCACTCGAAATAATGTATTTACTCGACATCATCTTGTCTCCATTGTCTGGCAATCAATAGTCTTATACTGATAAACTGGCATACATGTCGTATTAGTAATTTTCAAGAAGAGTTAGTTCTCAATATCAAGAATGTCCGACCAAGAAAGCTTTCACTGCCATTAAATCATAGGTAAACCGTTAGCCCCAAAGCGGGACTTACGCAAAGTTTCCGCACCAGACGAGGCTCGGCGACTCGGCTTCGTGCTGGACGCCGATATGCTCCTGTGGACACCTCTGTGCGTGGGACTCTGCACACCCGCACTGCCAGCATTGGCGCCCGCATCGTTGCCCGAGATGTTGCGCAGTGACAGCGAGGAGCCCGATCGCGATCCATCACTTTCCGGCTGCGTGTGGGTAGGTAAAAAGACTCTATTTAGTACTTGCCCCTGGTCCATCGAATCCGTTGAATCAACTTACGTCCGTGCTCTTGCGTCCCAGCAGCAAATACGTGGCGAAAACATCGTCGTAGCGCACCTGGGAGAGCGAAGCCTCGATCTCCGACCGATTGTAGCCCATCGCGACTAGTGCTTCTGAGCATCGCGATGCGAAAATGACAAATAGTTTGGTTGTAAGTGAATGATGTGTTTATAGACATTCAATGGACATTTTTTAATACGTATAGATAGCGCATGCAAATTCATTACAGTTACATTATATATTTGGCTAAAAGGTCGCCAATACTCGAACGGATATATATGTATGGTTCAATTTGGAGTAGCCGGAATTGTGTGTTCTCATCGCCTTGAACTGAACAATTGGCCGTAGGAACATTGAGTACAAAACTAGGTATATATGTATATGTATTTAGACCATGCAGCTAGCGAAATGAAATTAATACAAATATCATCGCCGTCACAGGACCCAAACCGGATGCAATCTTAGCTATGTATTTAATGGAAAACGTCGACTTGAATTGAATTCTCAGAGAACCCCATTTATTTATGTGCACATACCAACAGCTATTTACACTGGCAACAGGTAATTCAAAAACCAACAAAAGATAACAAGAATATAAAATCAAAATTCGATTTTCCCTTGGCTGGCTGTTTAAGACTTTAAAAGTTTTGGGATTATCCGTTCTCTTGAGCCGGTTTGATATCTGAAGTCTCTTCCTTGACGGTCTGTTTGATTGTGGGATTTTTGAGGACAGAAAGTGAGAAAGTGAGAAGAAAACAGAGAGTTGGGGGTTAATGCGGATCTCTGGGCGTCGAACGTTAACGTTTCCACTACACAGATTGCATACATTTTTGGGTGGAACCCTCCGCTCGTCGATCAGAAAGTTCACCATCAACATCAAGTTGTACGCACTACGCCGAATCGAGAGCGAATTCTTGACACCGGTTTGTGACCCCGTAGCTATGTGAGAATTTACAAACGAAACACCATGAAGGCATATGAATTTAAAAGATACAATCAAAAGGAATAACACAACACTGGGAGATCCCGAGAAAAAGGAAGTCCGTGGAAGCAACATTCAACTACAAAATCAAAACAACATGTTGATAAAAAAAGAGTTGACAACAAATATTAGTAATATTAAGTTGCAAATACATAAAGATAGTTTCGGTAACAGAGCAATATAACAAAGTAAGCGATTGGCAGGCAAAAACTCCAGTCCACACACACAATTCGTTAATAATATTAGTAATGAATTTTGTATACAGTACCCGTCTTACCTATCCGCTTGGGATCGGCTAAATCGGCCTTGGGCTCAATATAGGGCTTGAGTTCGTCCTCCTCAAACCCCATGTTCATCCACTTGTCGCCCATGATTGTTTCAAGACTAGCACGCTTTGCGGGATTCAGTACTAAGAATTTGCGGAGCAAGTTTTCGCAGTCAGTCGACATATAGAAGGGAATTCTGTGGCGATAAGAAGGGGTAGTTTAGTACTTGTTTTATTACAGAAGGTATATCTTATAAAGCTCACCTATATTTGCCTCTGAGCACGCGTTCGCGCAACTCTCTCAAGGTGGAGCCGTCGAAGGGCAGGGAACCGCTCACTAACGTATACAGGATGACGCCCAGCGACCACACATCGACCTCGGGTCCATCGTACTTCTTGCCCTGAAACAGTTCGGGGGCCGCATACGGTGGACTGCCGCAGAACGTGTCCAGCTTTGAGCCGGGCGTGAACTCGTTCGAAAAGCCAAAGTCAGCGATCTTGATGTTCAGTTCGCTGTCTAGCAAAAGGTTTTCAGCTTTTAAGTCCCTGTTAATAGAAAAATATACATTATTCAGTGTGAAATAAATCAATAGACATTTAGTTGGCTGGCAAATACGGGCTTTTCACATTTTATGGTTTGTTTAAACAACTCAACAGAATTCAATTAGCACGCCTTACCTGTGTATTATTCTCTTTTGATGACAGTATTGCACGGCTGAGACGATCTGTCGGAACTTGACACGCGCCTCCTTCTCCTTCATGCGTCCGTGTAGGACGAGATAGTCGAACACCTCGCCACCGGACGCGTACTCCATGATCAAATAGAGCGTCTTCTCCGTTTCGATAACTTGGAACAATTTAACTATGTTTGGGTGATCCAGCATCTTCATTATTCTAACCTGTGGGTCAATTTGGATTAGTCTCTAATATCAAGGTATTATGATAAGGCAAAAACAAACCTCTCTGAAGAGTTTCTGCAGTGACCCAGGATTGAGTTGGGTCTTGTCAATTATCTTGATGGCCACCTCCTTGCCAGTGGGTAGGTGTTTCGCCAGTTTCACCTTGGCGAAGTTGCCCTTGCCGATCGTCTTTATGAGTTTGTATTTGCCAATGTGCTCCTCCGTGGCGCGCCATCGCATGGGAGCACTACTCCGCATCTGCATGTTAGGCGAACCCTGTAAAAGTAAGGCGTAAAGGGATAAGTAGATATCCTATTTGGGCAGTGTATATCAGGGGTGGGATTATGTGGTCAAAGGATCTTATTTTCCCCAAAAGGTATCCTAAGCAAAGAACTATTAAGCTGGTTTTTATATTGATTAGGACTTAAGAATGATGTGATATTAAACCACATTTATAATGTTTATAATGTATTCAGAAAGGGCATGTTATAATGTTTTAAGGTATGTTACTAATCTGAACCGTATGATGATAGTGATATTATAAATTAAGAATATAAAATGGATAATGTTTTATATCCCTGCTTAGTTAGGGTTTACCTGTGCAGCATTGTTGCTGTAAACATTGCTGCGGTTTGCCACAACACTGGGAACGTGGCTAGTGCGATGATGACCCACAGGCGGAAGAACTGACCCTGCTCCGGAGGCAGTTCCCGATGAATGAGTCGAAGATGACCTTGGATCAATGCTGGCTCTTGTTGAACTGGTCACCGGCTCCGTTCGACTGGAATTGAACGGCGGAATGGGGGCAACAATTGGCCGTTCCGAGCGTCTCTTCGAACTGGCCGCATGGCTTCCAGCTCCCGAGGCTCCAGATGCTCCCGAAGAGTTACCATGACGATGCGACGACTTCTGGGCCAATAGAGCCTCAAATTGTCGCAAATTCTCCTCACGCCGCTTGGAAGCCGAAATGGTGGTGGCCGTAAGCTTAGATGGAGCCACTCCATCCACCACACTGCTGCTGCTGCCGCCACGACTGGCCGAAGCTGAGTTCGAGGAGGTGGAGGGGGTGGAGCTCCTGACCGCCGGAGTGGGTGCTGTGCCGGCTGGTCGCCAAACCGCCGGCTGCTTCTCGTCCTGCAAATGCTGTTTCTGCTTCAAAGTGGCCCGCATGGCCATCAACGTATCATTATTCTTCGTATCCGAGGCAGTACGTGCCAATTTAGCTTTGACAGCATTGGATCCGTTTGAGGCTGCGGCCGAGTTCTTGGAATACGCTCCGATCGAGTTACGACCATCACTGCCGCGCTGGAATTCCGATAGCATCAGCTCATTGCTGGCATCCAGTTCGCCGGCCCGCCTGCCGCCCAAGTACTGAAAGTCGTTCTCCGAGGACATGTCACTTATGCCCGGCCGCAGTAGGTTTTCCGTTTCACCGTAACGCTTGCTCTGCTTGCGTTTGATCTCCAATTTCATGACGTCCATCGAGGATTGGGATTGCTGCTGCTGCTGTTGTTGCTGTTGCTGCTGGTTCTTGAAGCTCTCCTCCACGTTGTGGATGTGCTTCTCGATGGAGCCAAGGGCAAAGGACACGCCGGCATCGTCTTCAGTGGACAAGAGATTGCGTGGCAGGGGCTTCTGACGTTCCTTGGGCTTCGGATGTGGCTGTAGGGTGGGCAGGGCGGATACTGCTATCCTGGGCAATGGAGTGGCCTGGGCATCACGTCGTCGCAGCTCCACAATGCTGTCGTCTTCGGTGGCTCCTTCGAGATCCTTGGTGGCAAGATGTGGTTGTGTGGGCTGCACTTTCGTTTCCGGTGAGTTGTCACTGCTCTGGTTGTTGTTGTTGTTGCTGCTGCTGCTGCTCTGATTCTGGCCAGAGGGCGCCACACTGAGCTTGGGCGGTGCAGGTGCCGCCCCCTTGCGGGCGGCGTACAACCGCACACTCTTCCTGGTGGCATCGCCGCGATTTAAGTCAGGTGTCGTGGTAGTGGTGGCCTCCATTGCTCCTCCGTTTTGCTTTTGGTTGCGGTTTCTCCGTGTTTTTCCTCTTTTTTTCTTTTTGTCGTGGCACAACCTTTAAGTGTATTGGTGCACTAGTACTTGTTGCTCGGAGAGATCGCAACTTTTCTTTTTTTTTCTTCTTTCTTTTTTCAAAAACTGGCGCTTGGCGTGTTTATTGTTCTTACACTGTGGGTTTTTTTTTGGGGAAAATTATTGAGATTGAGCTTGAGATTTCGCTTTGCCACACAAAATCGGAAGTACAATGCAGCTCACAAATACAGAGGTAACTGCTTTGTGAGAGTGTGCGTGTTTACATTGGGCTTTCTAAATTCTCAACATAGCTTTTGTTTGTTTTTGTGTTATTTTTTTTTTGTCGCCTAACCAACACACAACAAGTCGCAGTTGTTGCGCATTAAAACCTCGAAAATGAATTAAACACACAGCCAGCAGCAGGCAGCAACTTCCATTTATATACATGTGTACGGGCTTATGTACATATGGGCGGACTGGGAGAGTGTGTTCGTGATATTTACGACAACAGGCGGACAAGAGCTAATCTGTCTCCCCGGTGACACTGAAATAAACACACGGCAAAGCGCGGGGGCGAGCGGGAGGGCAGTATACCTATACACACACACACCTAAGCCAGCAAAAGAGAGTGCGCGCGTGAGAGAGAGCTAACTGGCACCTACACACCTGTGGTGGAGGTGAGCTCCTATGCGTGTGTGTTTGTTTTCTCTCTCTCCCTCTGACTCTCTTCAACTTCTACTGCTGTTGCACAAGCTCAGCTGAGATGCTCTCCCTCTCCCGTGTGTGTGTCACGCTTTTCCTGCCCTCAACCTCCCCCTCCCACGCTCTCATTTCTGTTTTTTTTTTATGATTCATTTGCCTTTTCGCTATTTTCCTTTGTTGCGTTTAATTACTGTCTAAATAGTTACGATGTGGAGATCTACAAGTATCTGAACAATTCCTCGAACGAGTCGTTAGTTGGCCGTTGCTGGTTTTATTTCATTTTTTTCCTCGCTGGTTCACTGAGCAAAGCGAAAAGCTCCAATGCACACACACACACACTCGCACACACACAGCTAAACGCGCGCGCACCAATACACCGAGGCAAATGAACTACTTTTAGACAATTGAGCCGACTTTTTCACTGGTGAAAAAACACAGTTAGGCTATATACATCGGTGGTTTGAGAGTGTGTGGGTATTTTCTAATTTTTATTTTTTGTTCACTTGGGCTGTAAAAAAAAATCACATTTCTCGCAAATCCCGATTATTAAAGGTTCGTTTCGTCAGCCAGAGGAGTTCTTTAGCCGCGAACGCTTATCTTATCAAAGGGGCACGCGGCTTTCGCAATT